GTCGCCACTTTCGTCGTGGGCTCCTGGGGGTGGGGGGCTGCGAGCTGCGCACATGTCGCCACTTTCGTGGGTTCCCGGGAAGTTGAACGGAATGGACGTACACGATCACCCAGTCGGAACCCTTCGACCCCTTGGGTGGCTGCGAGCCGCGCGCTGTCGCCACTTTCGTGGGCTCCTGGGATGTCTAGCGGAGTGGAGGTGTACGCCAATTCAGCCGAAACCTCGCGGCTCCCTAGGTGGCTGCGACGTGCACAGCTGTCGCCATTTTCGTGGAATGGAGGTGTACGCGGCCCAGCCGAGAGCTCGCGGCTCCCTGGGTGGCTGGGTTCCGCGCAGCTCTCGCCACTTTCGTGAGCTCTTGGGAGGTCCAGCGGAATGGACATGTACGCGCATCCAGACGAGTCCTCGCGGCTCCCTGGCGGCGTGTGGGTCTGCGTGGACCACTGCAAGGACGTCCCTGTCTGCGACCAGCTGGCAACGCGCGCGGATGGGGGTCGACGTCGTGGACGCGGCGAGGCTCGTGTTCGTCGAGCCGCATAAGTCCAACCCCTCCGATTTCCGCATGCACAAGGTCACTCGGACTGGCCTGCAAATCTTCCTCGCCAAGGTGCTCACGTCGACGGCTTGCCAGGAGCGGACCATGCACAAGGTCGTCATCGTCGACTTGGGCGCCCTCTGGCTGCACTTGTACGTCGTGCTCTCCAGGGCGACGGCGTCTGACAACCTCGCGCGGAAAACTTCAGGAAACTGCCCATGAAGATGGTTATAACGCAGTCGGCCTTGCCAGATTTCTGCGAGACTGAAGGGGGGAGAGCCGCAAGCGGATTCCGGGCGAGGGTGCGCATTGGCTGCGACTTTTGGGGCGCCGTCGGCGATGTTTGCAAAAGGCGACGACCAGTCGAGTATGAAAAGGCACGCCCACATGGAGGCCATGGCGCATGGCGCTGTCCCTTCATTCAGCGCGCGGCGCTGTCCCTTCATTCAACGCGCGGCGCTGATGCAGCACAGAACGCAGGGTGCTGGAATGTCACGTAACGCATGGCGCTGTTTTCGACATCCCCCCTCTTCAGGCAAATGTCGCCCGCAGCGGCAACGGGGGCGAATCGAGCAAATGTAGCGCGTGGCGCTTTACTCTCATCAGTCTGTCTTCCAGTTCATTCTCTATCCTCCATGTCCTCCTCCCTCTTCTTCCTCCGCCTCCGCCTTCTTCACGCCTGTCCGGCGTTCTATGTTGCGCAGGTGTAAGAAGTGCGTACCCCGACATTGTACCACCGTCTCGAATTTTGCATCTCAGGCAATGTGCCCTTTTGTCGGAAACATTCACGTAAATAGTTATCTCACGTGCAGAAAAGGGGTTGGCTACGTCTCGGGTCATTTTCCCAACTCTCCTGTGTTTGGTTCTCGTTTTGAATCAAACGCTACTCGTGCGTCTCCCTCCTCCTCCTCCTCCTCCTCCCCCTCCTCCTCCTCCTCCGCCTCCTCTTCCTCCTCTTCCTCCTCTTCCTCCTCCTCCTTTACCTCATCCACCTCCCCTCCTTCTCCTCCTCCTCCTCCATCCCTTCTCCTTATGAATAGCTCCTCCCTGTCTCAGTCCCAGGCGTGTCTGTAGGCCGGGCCGGGCGTTTCGCCTGAGACTTCCTTGCGATTTAGGATCGCCAAGCTTCAAACTTGCAACAGTTACACGGATGGAGGGCGGGTGGTTTTCCAAATGTGGCTGTCGCCTGAGCGCCGCGCACATTCGTCTTCGACATTTCCAACAGTTACAAGGATGGAGGGCGGGTGGTTTTCAACGTGTGGCTCTCGCCTTAGCGCCGCGCACATCCGTCTTCGAAATTTCCAACAGTTACAAGGATGGAGGGCGGGTGGTTTTCAAAATGCGACTCTCGCCTTAGCGCCGCGCGCATTCGTCTTCGAAGTTTCCAACAGTTGCAGGGATGGAGGCCGGTTCCTTTTCAAAATGTGGCTCTCGCTTCAGCGCCGCGCACATTCGCATTCGAAATGTCCAACACTTACAACGATCGAAGCCGGTTCTTTTTCAAAATATGGCTCTCGCTTTAGCGCCGCGCACATTCGTCTTCGACATTGCAACAGTTGCACGGATCGAGGCCGGTTCCCTTTCACGCCGTGGCTCTCGCCTGAGCGCCGCGCACACTCGTTTTCTAAATTTCCAACAGTTGCACGGATCGAGGCTCGTACCTTTTCAAAATGTGGCTCTCGCCTTAGCGTCGCGCACGTTCGTCTTCGAACTTTCCAGCAATTCCATGGATCGAAGCCAGTTCATTTTCAAACAGGGGTTCTTACAGTAGTGCAGCGCTCATTTTAAGATCGCCCCTGAGCTTGTTTCGCGACTCCCTGTCAATTGATACCACGCGGCCAGCACTCGACATGTTTCCTCGCGCGCAAGGGCTCCAAGACCGCCCTGGGTCCGAAAGACGGCCGAAGGGCACCGAAGAGGGCCCCCAGAGGGGTCCAAGAGGGGCCCAAGAGGAGGGGGCACGAACGAACATTTCGAACCCCCCACCCAGGCCATTGCAAGCGTCGCCCCATTGGATGCCCGCTCCGACCAGGGGGCGGTGGGCGAGATAGGAGACCCCTGCGCGCGGAGGAATAGTAAGTCGCGGGGCGTTCTCGCGCTCACCATTTCAATCGATCGCGTCAAAGAAAAAGCGCGTCGGCGTCGCCTGGTGCCTCAGTCTGACCGAGCTCGCTGTCGCTCGCGCCTGCTTGCGTGCCAGGCGTCGTGCTGGCGCCCTCCGCGTCGGATTCCTCGTCCGACGCGGCTGAAGAAGAGGCGGGCGGATATTCAGATCCGTACGCCAAGTCATCCTCGGCGAACTCGCCGGCCTCGCGGGCAAGCTCCGGGTCCAGGTCCTCCAAGGAAGACGGTAATCTTCGTCCATGTGGTCTTCGTCGTCCGACGACGCCGAATCGATCCCGCGCTCAACCTGCTCGCCCTCGCGGCGCGGCCCTACAGGCAACCAGTCTGAGGCTCAGATCCTGCCGTACAGCCACACCCCCAATCTCGAGTGCGCCCTGGATGCCCCGACGTACCCGCACCCCCGGTCGGGGGGTACGACCGTGGCGTGTTAACACCACGAACCAGATTCAAGATGTCTGGGTTGAAGATTTTCTTGGCCTTCTCGTCCCTGATCCAAAGACACGCCGCCTTGAGGATCTCCGCCGTCAAAAACCGTCGCATTGATTTTGCCACGGCGTCGGATGTCTGCGTCGGGCGCGCCCCTCGCGGGAGTCGGCCGGTCCGCCGCTCCGGAACGCCGCGGGCCGCGCCGTAGCTCCGAGGCTGATCGGCGACAGCCAGGGGTCTCATTCAACAAACGATCGCGCGCACGCAAAGGGCTACCGAAGTTCTGCCAGGGTTCACGTGTAAGTACTTATGAGGAGGGAACATGGGACGGGAGGGGATGTTCCTTGCGAGCACTACTAATCTTCAGTTCACTCTGGTCCTCCTCCTCCTCCTCCTCCTCCGCCTCCTCCTCCTCCTCCTCCCCCTCCGCCTCCTCCTCCTCCTCCTCCTCCTCCTCCTCCTCCTCCTCCTCCTCCTCCTCCTCCCTTCACCTGCCTCCTGCCTCCTTGCCTCCCTTCTTCCCTCGTGCCTTTCTTACTGCGGGCCGGCCTACCTTCGTGGGCTCCTGGGAGACACGGCTCGCGGCTCCCTTGGGGGCCACGAGCTGCGCAAGTGTCGCCACTTTCGTGGGCTCTTGTGCGGCACGGCGGAGGAGAAAGCAAACGGTCTTTTGGGATCTCGCGGCTCCCCTGGGGGCTGCGAGCTGTGTCAGTCGCCACTTCCGTGGGCTCTTGGGAGACACGGCGAAGGTGAGGGCAGCGCAGATCATCGGGACCTCGAGGCTCCGCGAGGTCTACGAACTGCGCATCTGTCGCCACTCTCGTGGGCTCCTGGGATGCACGGCGGAGGTGAGGGCAGCGCCGATCATCTGGGACCTCGTGACTCCTTCGGGGGCTGCGCACCGTGCGAATGTCGCCACTTTCGTGGGCTCCTGGGAGGCACGGTGGAAGTGTGGACAACGAAGATCATTTGGGACCTCGCGGCTCCCTTTGGGGCTGCCAACCGTGCAACGCTCGCCACTTTCGTGGCGTTCTCGGAGGCACGGCGGAGTGCAGAGCAACGCGGGTCATTTGAAACCTTGCGGCTCCGACGGGGGTGTAGAGTTGCACAAGTGTCGCCACTTTCGGGGGCTCCTGGGAGGCAAGGCGGAGGTGAGGGCAGCGCATATTATTTGGGACCTCGCGGCTCCCTTGGGGGCTGCGAACTGCACAACTATCGCCACTTTCGTGGGCTCCTGGGAGTCACGGCGAAGTTGAGGGCAGCGCAGGTCATTTTGAACCTTGCGGCTCCCATCGGGGGCTGCGAACTGCGCAACTGTCGCCGCTTTCGTGGGCTCCTGGGAGGCACGGCGGAGGTGAGGGCAACGAGGGTCCTCTGGGACCTCGCGGCTCCATTCGGGGCTGCGCGCTGCGCAAGTGCCGCCATGTTCGTGGGTTCCTGGGCAGCACGGCGGAGGTGAGGACAGCGCGGGTTCTTTCGGACCTCTCCCTGCGGGGCTGTGGACTGTGCATCCCTCGCCGCTTTCGGGGGCTCGTGGGAGGCGCGGCGGAGTTCAGGACAGAGCGGGCCCCGCACATGTCGCGATGTGTTCTGTCGCAAGGAGCCTTCATGCAAATATTCGTCGCCGCGCGTGGAG